ATGCACATCCAATTTTCAGATATTTTATAGAGATTTTAACAATACGAGCTTTGACGTTTTGTCTCTATGCAGTACGATTGCTTTGAAAAAAGTTCAAAATTTCCAAAATATGTCAAAATGAAGAAAACATTTTTTTTTCAAAAAAAGTAATTTTTTGTCGAATTTAATGCAAAATCTCAGAACAAACTTATACAAGTCCACATAAAATACAGTAAAATACTTCTTGTAAAGGAGTAAACTTCGCATTTCAAACAAATATTACACATAATGCAAGTTTCTTTCATAATATGTAGACTGCATGATAATAAATTATAAAACAACGATGTGCATACTAGCAACCTTGAGTATATGGTCTATGATGCAAAGACTTGAAGTTTATGAATGAAAAATAGTTTGTTTTCCCAACTGTAACATTGAATCGATTTAAAATTGCAAAGAAAAACGCGTTCACCTTACATCCACAAGGCCGGCGTTTAAAAAACCAAAAGTTCAACGTACCTACGTCGTCTGTAAAAGGATCAACAAATGTATTATCTAATCCGCCGTAAGCAAACTGACCAAATAAACGCAGTAACATAATAAGAGCAAAAATTTTCATAGAAAGTGAAAGTCAATCATGTAAGTAAGAGAAGGTAATACTTGCATTGGCAATGAACAGAAGACAAGTCTTTCTATCTCCGGCAAAGTTAAACTGTAGCAAAACTGGATACTCTTCGATAATAACAAAATAAAAAACCCATGAACTAGAGTAATATTATGATATTACTTTCTCTATACACTCACACGAAACTCGTCCCCATCTTCGAAACACCTAATACGCCTTTCTTTGGAGTATAAAAACAAATGCCAGGTAATCAAACATCACAGTCTCAGTCTAGTGGTGTACTCGATCAAGGATAAGGCCGGGTGCTAAATTTCATATATAGGAACAATGAAACTTTTTGTAAGTACACTAATTACATATTTATAATTAATAAAAACAATTATCTAATATTTATTTTCTCGAAAAATAAAAAAAAACAAAGTTGCATTAATATTTCATTTTTTTTAATATTTATTTAATTTTAATTTAATAAAAAAATCGAATATTATAAATAAATATCTAAGTGGTTTGATTTTTTTTCCAAAAAGACTTTTTTTTAATCAAAACGAATAACAAAATTTATTTGGTGCCCGAGAAAATAATTTCAATCTAACATAAAAAAACAAAATACAAAAAATATTTTTAAAAAAAGAAAAATTTTGTACATTTTTTATGATCCTTGATAAACACTCTTTCAATCCTTCAATATTTATTTAAATTTTAAATTAAAATTGTTATCGAACATAACGTAATTTTAATTTTTTGCAAAATATCAATAAAAAAAATTGAAAAACATCCTTTATAAATTTGACAAGTTTACAAAACAATTGTAATTAATTGTATATATAAGTAATTAATTACTGCAATTATTTTGGAAAATATAAATCTTCATAATTATTAATGCTTATGGATAATTTATTTAATTTAATAGATTTTAAGAAATGTTATAAAAATTGAGATAGAATTATTAATTTTAGTTCAAATTTAAAAAATAATATTAATTTCAAAATATGAACAAACAACACTTTTTGCACTAATTTATTATCATATCGAACGACTTGTAACGGATAACACATAATGCTAATTTAGGTTTCCATATTTTAAATTTTAAATTATAACACACTGATGATGAGACAAACCTAGTCTCGAAACGTTTGTGAAAATTATTATTTAATAAAAAGTGTTGTTTGTTCATATTTCCAAATTAATATCTATTTATCCACTCAGAATATATTCGTTAAAAAATAATATTAACACTGGCAAAAAGAGCGAGATTAGTGATGTAATTGATCCGGAAAACATGGGAAAATTAAATGGAATAATAATAGAGAAAATGATGAATTTGATAAAAAATTACGGATACGATTGGGAAATAATAAATATCACCAAATATAAATAAGAACGTAATTTCGAACAGGCAGATTAAATAATAAATCAAAATTATTGTAAAATGATTGTAATAATTAAATGAAACTCATGTCGTTGTAGATCACTGAAAGTAATCAGTACTATTCTAAATTTTATGCTCGTTTAAAATAAGGAAATTTAAATTGAAATAGTTAAATGAAATCCTTGTCCTTAAAGCATTTGAAAACAAAAATTACCGAAAGTAGTCAGAACTTTAAATGAAAATGTTCGCAAAACATTTCGTATCACAATGTTTTACGATGTTCGTTAAAAACATAAAATCTATCACCAAGTTTTATTACAAAATCTGAAAAGTAAATACAACAATTATTTTTTAAATTTTGAAGTCTTTGCAAAAACGTGGACAAAAAATTTTATATATTTATGCTAATTCTAAAAAAAAGTCTCGGCCGATCATCTCACAAAATGTGACTCTTTATAGAGTTACATCGAATGTTAATAATTTTTTTAAAAAAGAGTCTCAGTCCAAAAAACGTCGAAAGATCAAAAATCGAATTATATACATGATTTTCCAATTTTGGACTTCAACGATTCAGAATGACTAGAAACTTCGAGAAAATATAATATTAGAAAATCTGATTTTCTGGCTAAAATAAACTTCGACCTTCATAATGCATAATTTATCATATTAACTCAATTAACATTATTAATTAAAAGTCATTAATTATTTATGAATTATTTAACTTTCTCATTATCACTTACGCTTGATTGTTCATTTTTTTTCTCGCGTGTTAATTGATTAATTTATGACTTGATATAAATATATAAATCAAAGCAAATTTGTTGCTTCCGGCAAAAATATTGAATGGTAATAAAGTAATTTACATTGTTTGTTATTATTTAATAGAATAAAATTAATACTCATTATTACTCCATCTCTACACGGTAATACTAAAATTAATTCAATCATTTATCCCGTTAATAAAATCATTAAATTCAACTATAAAATTGATACTAACTAAACGTTGAAAATATAACGATCATTTACAAAAACTTTAAATTTACTTTTTGACTAAAGTTCGTGCAAACCTCAGTGAAACCTACACAAATATAACATTTAAAACAAATTAAAACCAAAGCAATTGGTAAGTAAAAATATATCAATTATTTTCACATTCATTAATAAGATTCATATAAAACGACTGAAGATAATGTTTTAACACAGTAATAAAAATCTTAAACAGTTGTTAATAGCGTCATAAAATGTAATCGGTAACAAAATTGAACAATTATACGCCATGCTCAAAATTTTCATACTGTATTAACATTCAGTACATCATAACATATAAAATTGTGTAACAAACGCTTTTTCATGTAACAAGCATTATGATGAGTTTTTTTTTATTACTGCGTATGCCAAATTTCGAGTAAAAACCGCAATATTATGAATGCCTACAAATTGATGAAAAAGTACATTCATTGAGAACAGAAATTATTGCCTTTATTGCTCCGAACATTTTAATCATCATAAACATTCACTGTATTATGAACGTATACGCGAGAAAAGCTGCAACTATTTTATGAACTTTTTTAAAATATCTCAAATAAATCAGATTGAAATAATTTTATTATATTCCTTCAGAGTTTAAAAATTCTGCTCATTATAATTGAATTTCCTTCCGAATGTTGGACGTTTTTAGACCTAAAATTGAAGTTTAATAAAATGAAATTTGTTTAAGATACGTTTGATACGTTACTTCACAGTAATTAAAAAATCTTTAAAATTGTTCCAATAATGATCACTAATATTTCTATTATAATAATAATTTCACTGTAATATGAGAATTTTTATCCTTACGATTTTAATTTCTTACTTCCTTTTTTCTTCAAATACAAAAATCAGGGACCTTCTTCTGATCATATATGCAAAATAGTCAATTGCATGATTATAACCATTCAATATTTTTTCCTTATGTGTAATTGCAAAAGATAATTTTATTATAAATTACAAATTGTAATCGTTTGACCCCTAGAAATTCGTCGTAACTTCTGAATCCGGAAATTCGAAAAGATGACCATTTACAAGGTCTTCAGACTTTAATAGCGAAAGTATACTTTAATTTCAATTAATCGTCTTTCACCTACTAAGAACAAAATCGGTGGAATTGAAAGTAAACACGGCGAAATAAAAAAAGCAGTGCAAAAAATTAAAATCCAATGATATAATTTATGCTAGGTCGCTGAACCGCGAACCGTAATTAGACGTTCTCTTTCAATCGTCTTTTTTTTTTGCAATGATTCTAAGAAATATTTGTTCGAATTATAGATATAACTATGATGTGTTCAATAATTCATATAATTATTGAAACGATAGTTTCAAATTTATTCTCAAAAAATATTGAAGAAGTATTCATAATTAAATGAAAAGTCTCTGAAAACATGCATAATAAATGAAATATTTCCTTTAAAGTTATGAGTATTGAGGTGTGCGCGCATGTTTGTGTAAATATAAAAGTATAAAATAAATTAAATTCTAAGAAATACTTCGCCATCCTTCTAAAAAAAACGATAGAACACTCCAGATCATTTTCGTTTCGTTCAAATTAAAAAGCAATTGTGATGTTGCTGATTTCAAATAGCATACACATTAAAGTAGAATTTAAAAGTTTTCCACGAAACAAATTGGCCGTAACACAGAAATGTGAATGAATAATGAATTACATATATATATATATATATATATATATATATATATATATATGTAAAGTAAATGTATAAAACTGTCACATGACTATTGTAAAGTTACTTTCACTTATTTCCTGAAATTAATATTAAAATGAGAATGAATGAAACATATAAACAATCAAAACATGTTAGAACTATTAAATATTCTAATACTGAACAAATGTGTCCAATATAAATAAATTCGATCAATTTTAATAAATATCATGATTATCATATGATATTTTATGGTTGAATACATTTCGTATCAATTTAAAAAATCTAATATGCCGACTAATGTAATAAATAGTTAAGTAAATATTATTCAATGCTCTTACAAGTGGAACAATGGAACGTAATATCAAGAAATAGTTAGCTTGCACGCAAAGAAAACTGTAATAAATAATCAATTAGTACAGTTATATGAAAAATCGATAATAATTCGATTATGAAACAAATAAATTATATAAATATGATATGTAAATAAATTGAAATGCCAATTGAAGTTTTGTGAGCGCGTTCAAATTTAACAAGTATTGCTCTGTTTGGTAAAAGATTCCAACGATAAAAATGAAAGCACTTATCAACAAAGATATCATAGCACTCAAAATTTTATCCCGTTTCGATGTGCCCGAAAATAAAATTGATAGAATACAATATATTTGTGTTTAGTATGTACAAGAATTAGAATCTATAGATTTTTCACTCAAGTTAATTTTTCTTACAGTTGTTGATAAGTACACTGTGCCTGGTGTCGGCCAGACCAAGTGAAGAACACGGCGGTTACGGTACGAGTGGAGGTGGTTCGAGTTACGGCGGAGGTTCGGAAGGTTACAGTGGCGGCTCAGGAAGTTATGGAGGCGGCTATGAAGCCAGTTCTGGAAGTGGTGGTTGGACCGGCATAAGTACTGGTCATGGCGGTTATGGCGGTGGTGAATCCAGTTACGGTAGCGATTCCGGCTACGGTGGCGGTTATGCAAGTGCAGGACATGTCGACACCTCCAGTTACGGAGGCGGTTTTGCCTCCGGACATGGTGGAGATGGCGGATTTGGCGGCGGACATGGAGGAGATGGCGGCTATGGAGGCGGATATTCGACAATTGCCCACAGTGGTTACGGCGGTGCGTACGCTGGCGCGCTACATGGTGATTCTGGATATGGCGGCGGTTCCGGTTACGGAAGCAGTGGTTCTGGTCATGGAGGCGAAACCTATGAGATTGGAACACACGTACACACAACAACTTCCGAAAAAACAAAACCAGTGCCTGTGCCAGTTTACCAAAAAGTCGGAGTACCAATTCCACACCCTGTCCCAGTTCCAATTCCACAATATGTCAAAATCGGCATTCCTCAACCTTATCCCGTTCACGTAGTTATGCAACAGCCGATACATGTGCCGATTTACAAAGTCGTAACAGAAGTGATTGAAAAGAAGGTTCCATACACAGTAGAAAAACCATATCCAGTAGTAGTAGAAAAGCCATATCCAGTACATGTGGAACACAAAGTTCCAGTTCCTGTACCGCAACCATACCCCGTGCATGTGCCAATCTTCAAGCATGTCTTGAAAAAAAGTAGCGGTTGGAAGCACTGATAATGTTTAGAAATAATTATTATTTATTTATGTCTTCCCTCCTGCATGTCAATAACACAACAATTTGGAGTTAGAGCCAGTATATGTAACGAAACGTCTTGAATTTCAACAACTAAAACCATACACAGCAGGGGTTACGAAGATTGTATGACTGACATATTTGAACTCGAATTTAAGTAACGCTTATGAATGTATAACAGTATAAATATCAACTTGTGCGCTTTCATCTGGAAATATTATAAAAAGCAAAATTGTCTTGTACGTGTGATTTATTCATTGCCTAAAAGTTATATTTATATACATTTTATTGTTATCCATTTGCTTGTTAAATTTGAATGTATTGTTAAATAATTGTAAATACATCTTATAAACATATATTTTGTTTTTAATTATAAAACTAGGAACCAATTAAACGATTGCTTCATAAATTATTATAAACCGTATTGTATTAATTGTATCCAATTAAATTCAACTTTATATTATCAATTTATTGACTATAGTTACACACAATGTTATATAAATAATTTACATAAAAGCTGTTGCTCAATTATATACAAAATTTATGCAACGGAATTAAAAAATCTTAAGGCTATTATTAAACTTGAACCTGTTAAAATCGTGAAGAAAACTATTTACAAGTATTTACAAAATATAGTAATCCATTTTTTCATATAAAATATAGAGAAACAAATCCACTAAAAATGATTTGAATCTGGTTTCTAAAGACAAATTGAAATAAATCAAAAATGTAAATGTTCATCGTTTTATAACTAAATGTATAAAATGTCATGAAGAATTGTGGATAGAAACATTGTTCATGCAGGATAAACGAACAAAGTTTTGAGTGTGAATTTAACCATTAACAAGCGAAAATACAAGCACAAGGGCAAAGAAATATTTTAATTATCATATATTTGTAATAAACTTAATATAGACATAGAAGAAAACTCGTCGCCATTGAATTAAATGCAAAACTAGTCACATTGTAAGAATTATTTATGTGCTACAAAGCTATGAAGCATCCTGAAATTTAAATTTAATTCCAAAACAAAATTATGTTGCACAAATAATATAAATAGCAACAAATATTTTGCGGAATTTGTTTAAAGAAGAAACAATATATACATAATGCAAAACTGTCTTACAAGACAAAGTCTACATTTACAGTATTATAAAATCATTTTCATGATTATTATAGTCTTTTTCAAATAAAAGAAATTTCAGTTCTATAATCATAATAATTCATATTGATTATTATGACATGTATCACAACAAATGTTCTATTTTCTAATTGTTTACAAATTTATAACAACCATTTGAAAAACCTATTTTGGATTTTAGGTACTACTTCAACTAGTCAAAAGTATACATCTTAACTAATACTAATTTATTAGAGTCTCTCCTACTTTAAGGTCTAATGGACTTTGTGCATCTGAATAAATTAACTATTTATAACTAGATAAGCGGCGAGCACATGAAACATTTTTAAGGATATCTAATGTTCACTACATGTGAAACATTAATTAATAACTTCTGAAAATATTCAGAACATAGACCGTTATCTACCATGATTTCATTATAAATGACGTTGCTATAATTGAACAAATCTACTTTGTGATTTTTATAATGATTGCCCATAATGTCTTATTTGGTGTTTGTAAGTACAAGTTGAAATAATTTATTATAAAATGTATATTTAAATACAACGATTTATATTTAATTATAACAAAACATTAAAATCTACTATTTTCTTAAATCAGTGAATTTACACACACGGATATATATATATATATATATATATATATATATATATATATATATATCTGTGTGTGTAAAATTTAATATTCATAATTTAACTTTACATTTGCATACACATGTTTTTCCAATGTTTGATTCAAAAGTATGTAATTGTCGAGAATATATTTATTATCAAATTTCAATAAGTTAAGAAATTGTTGTCAAGTAAAAAACAACAGTTAATTTATTCTATTCAATAATAAAATTACCACTAGTATAGTGAATTAAAGAATTTTACACTGTAAGATTTGCTTCGTTATGTGAAAGGTAGCACACGTACATAGTAATCAACATTATAACAACAAATAATCCAGAACAAAATATCTTTGACAGCATAAAATATCATCATGAAAAAGTACATTCAAAAAAGTATTCGAAGAATTTAAATAATATATTCAGGTAACAAATTATGAAAAATGGGGTTTATAGTATTATGTCAAAATAGTCATAATAGCTTAGCATCAACATTTTTTTAATATCAATACATCAGTAAAAAAAAAGTTAATGATTCATATTGATAAAAAAGAAAGAAGTGGTGATAAATATAAATTATGTAATATAAAATAAATAGAAAAACCTCATAGATATAAATGTAATGTTGATAAAAAAATACTAAAGCACCCTTCATATAACAAAACATCTTCAATTTCAATCATCACATTATTATTTTTTGGAAATATAATGTTAGAAAAACCCAAATACTAATATTTTCATTTTGCATGCTTGTAACACAAATTTTTTAATGAAATTGAAATGTTTCAATTTAAGTCACTTTTTATAGTTTATTATAAATATCAGCTCACCCTTCTGCCCAATTCTGTGCTGGTTCATCGGCTGTGAATTGCGTCACACCATTATTAGCCATAGCATCCAAAATTCCACTCACATACGAAGCTACATCAGTAGTACTTTGCTCTCCTTGCTTAATGAATGGATGTTCCAATAATTTATTGTATTTAGGTCTCTGATTTTCTTCTTTAATCAAGCTACATAAATAAAAACATATTTTTGATTATAGAAAGATAAATATCAATACTTGTAAAACTTTGAACTGAGTATTAACCGTTTAATCTAATCAAATTTAAAAAAAAATCAAAAACTTATTTAATCCAAAAAATAAAAACCATTTAACACAAAAAGATGCTCAAAGTGATATGAGGTCTAGCTTTTGTATAAAATGTATCTAAGTCTATTTTGATGCCAACTATAAATAAATATAAAAAAATAATTTGGTGAGCAAATACATGAGTCTATAAAATACTCACCAAGTATTAACAAATGTAACAAATTCACGAGTAAAATAATTTCCATTGTGTTCAAGAGTAAGTCTTGGTGGATCTCCTTGTACAACTTGATAAAGCTGCTCAAACACTGAATTCCATTTAGGGTACGGAAATCTACCAGTGGCAACTTCCATTAACGTGATTCCTAAGGACCACACGTCACTTCGAACATCATATCCTCTTCCTCGTTGGGGATCTATACGCTCGGGCTACACATAAATTAAGAGTTATATTTTTACAAAATAAATACTAGATGCATTATTGAAACTTACTGCCATGTATGGTCTACAACCAGCATCTCTGGTCTGTGCTATTGAATCAACAAGTTGCCCTGATATTCCAAAGTCACATAATTTTATATCGCCAGATTTATCCAAGAGAATATTGCTTGGTTTCACATCCCTATATAAAATTGTTGTTATTATATTCAAAGACTTTACATCATAGTCACACAACATATTAATAATTACCTGTGAATGATCTTTAATTTCTCTTTTAAATAGTTCAAAGCTTTTACCGTAGCAACTGTGATTTTTGCCAAAATTGTCTCTGGAATTGTTTCATGTAATCTATCATAAATAAACTTGTAGAATTTATCTAATGATGTGTCCATTAACTCCATGCATATCCAACAGTCTCCCTGATATAAAAAAATTTATAGATTCATATAATTTTATTTCGATCGTATATGTATTTTTTTTACCTCTTTGAATAAAGCTCCATAAAACTGAACTATACATGGACATTCATTAGACCTCATAACAACTTCAAGGTCCATAAGTAACTGTTTTTGTTCTCGTTCGTCAACTGTAGACCTTATTCTTTTAACGGCCATTACTGTATCAGTTTTACGATACACCATTTTATTTACAGCTCCGAATGCCCCACGACCTATCTCTCCAAGGTCCTGCAGATCTTCAGATGTAAAATCGTATGTCTTTCCGGGTGCCAATTGCAATTTTCCAGAAGATTGTAGACCTTGGCACATTTTCAAACGTTCCCTGCAAAATGAAAATAAAACAAAATTTACAACTGTAAACACATTTAATAGAAAAAAGAAAACATTCAGCTTCAAAATTTAATAAAAATAAATAACACTATACTATTGAAGGCAATCTTCGTATAAGATGTATAAATTATGGTTTATAAGAAAATTTGCACAAAAAAATTATTACTTAGCTTATTCATATAATAATATATTCTTAATCATATATATATAATATTCAGTTCCCGATTTAGATAACTTTGATTGATAAAGTGATCCCTAGGACATTAGAGCATAATAAATGCCTATAATTTTTACCACTATTCAAAGATTACCAAAAGAATTTATTTGTAAAACAAACGTGCTGTTAAATGTTATATACAACAATGTTATTTATGTTGTGTATCTAAACAAGATTTATTTCACACCAAAATAAAAAATTAATATTAATATACGATCATGCTGATGCAACTTTTGGGTACAATTTTACCTTATTTTCTTATGCTCAGTTGGACCAAATCTGTGAAAATTTATGCAAATAATGAAATTTGAGAACAGAAGCAGTTTTAATAAAAAGTAATTTTTTAATGACGCAAATATTAGTTACCGTGTTTTTTCCTGAATGAAATCTTGATTATTTTTAGGCAATCTTCCTAAAGAAGGTTTTTGTCTAACAGAAGTATCGTTACTCATTTTCATAAATGCCTGTGGACTACTATTAGGTAAACCTGGAAAACAATTTGAAGCTACAGGCATTTGAGCCTGTGGTTGTGGAAATACTAATCCCCCAGAAGGGCCTGAAGGAAAATTGAGTTTCAATTGACGTCTTTTTTCTGTACTCATATCAGTATTATTTGTTTGAAAATCTAGTTTGTCAAAGAAACTGGGCCTGTTGTTTCCTATGAAAAAAATCAATAGTTGAGTTTTGGAAAATGATTACAACATTAAGTAGAAACTTAATATAATTATTATTAACCAAAATATAAATATATTCACCCTGGCTTGAGGAATGGCCTTGGTCTGCCATTTTGCAGATAGATCCCTATTGAATTCCACCCTAATCTACCCTATTACACAAAATACAGTTGATGCATTTATTTTGTTAAAATTGATACCCATAACAATGAACCGAAATTAGCGTTCATATTTTTTTATATATAAACAAATACCACTAATTAATTTTATTTATACAAAACTTCTTTGAATTCTCCCTGTGATATCAAAGAAAATTGACATTATTGAACGATCTGACGTTGGTTGCAGAACGAATGTCAAAACATCATGCGAAAGATTAATGTTTTGCGTATTTTACAGTTCATAATAAATTTAACTGCAAATTTAAAATATTGGTGAAAATATAAAATAAAACATTAATATGAATATGCTAATATTATCTGTGCATTTTTATTAATATTTAAAATGACCGCTAGTCTAGAATTTAATGGCTGAAGTATTTTGGCAACTTCACGGTGTAGAGAAGAACTGTCACAATGACAGTTATTGTCATTGCTGTCAATTCTTGTAGTTGTATGATATTAAAATGGCTTGCTTGTAACTGTTTGTTGTATTTGTTTTAATTTGATCAAAATTTCAATACATTAGTTAATAATCTTTGCATTCACAAATAAAATGGCTAACGAAGATCATTCGTGGCGTACCCATGGGTTTCGTCAAAGTGTGGTGGCCAAAATGTATTTCATTTTTGTTATTCGTAATATAGTTGATTTTGTATTCATATCTTTTTTAAATTCTTAGAGATGAAGCAATTCAGCAATCTGGAATGCCTACGTCAAAAAATAGTGCTGAAATGGAAAATCATGTGTTTCAAAAAGCTAAGTCGAGAGAAGAATATTTAGGATATGTAGCAAGATTAATTCTACATGTTAGGGAAATGAGTAAGCATTAAATTAATTTGGATAATATATATGTAACATCAGTTTCCTTAAATTTAATGCAAAATTTGAATATATTCATTCTCAATCATTAATAAAATTTCATTGTTTCATACTCCATATTGATATTTCTATAATATTGTTATTCATAATTCAATGATACTCATAACTAATAATCTCATTAACAGATTCTAAAAAATCTGGCATGGCTGGTGGCCCAAATCAAGGCGGACAAGGTATGCCTGATCCAATCAATGCTCTTCAAAATTTGGCCAGTCAAGGTAGATAACCTTTTAAACTGTTATTTTTTATTCTTATTTGCTACAGATACTATATCTTTATCAGGTTCAAGAGCAAATCAAATGCTCATGAACACAAATATGGGTAATCCAATGGGTCAGCAAGTAAATATGGTGCCACAGAATGCAAATAATCAGATGAATACAGCAACAAATTTACTACAAAACCTGAATCAAAGGCCTAACCAAAATCAAATGCAAAATATTCAAAATAAAATGCCAGGTATGACTCATATTTTACTAATTTAATAATAGTTTAAAATATTTGCGGAATAAAAATATTACTTGTAGGTCCAGGAAACAACCAAATGATGGGCAATGTTCCGATGCAAATGGGTAATGCAGGAATGCAAATGTCTAATATGAATAATATGGCAATGTCGGGCCAAAATCAAGCTATGGCAAATATTCAGTTACAAAATCAAATGCAGCAAGCTCAAATGGGTATGATTTTTTTGCTATACATACACAAAAATATTGATAATATCATTTATTTTATAAATTTCATAATATCAAATTTTATAAAAATAAAAATTTTATATTATTTTTAAACTTTATAATTTTGTTTATGAATCATGGGTTTGAATTGAATGAAAAGTGTATCATATTTCGATAATATTTTTGGAACTTTTGGGTTGTCAATATCAATTATCAGTTCAATTAACTCATTACATTGCATTTGATGTAAAAGTATGTTCTTTTATATCATTTTAAACAAAAGTCAAGTTTGCACTTTAGAATTCTTTTTGTCGACTAATGATAACTTATTTTATATTGCTACATATTTATTATAATACATATAACGAATTCAATATGTGAATGCAAGTAAAAAATTTTTGCACAAAGTTGTTTGTAATAGAATTAAAATATGTTTGCTGTAAATATTGTTTGAATCAAAATTTTTATTTAAAAGGAAATCAATTAGGTGGTCCAATGATGAACCAAATGACAGGTCAAATGAATAATGCTAATAATATGCAAGGTGGTTTAATATCAAACATGAATCAAGCTAATCAAATGGGTCAGATGAGTAACGCTAACAATACAAATATTAACACAAGTATGTCGGGTCCAAATGTCGTACAATCCACTCTTGGCGCCACCAGCAATATTGCAACAAGTAATATGGGTATGAATCAAATGGGTCAGGGCATGGGTCAGGGTAATGTTGCTGTTTCAACAATGGCTGGTACCAATATGGGACCAGGAAATATGACTAATCAAACAATGGGCATGGGATCTATGAATCCAAATATGCTCCAAACTTTAGGTGGAAATCACATGGGTCCTAATAATATGGGTCCAAATTCAATGGGTCCAAATTCAATGGGTCCTAATGCTATGGGACCAAATGCAATGGGTCCTAATACAATGGCACCCAACACCATGGGTGCAAATAATATGGGGCACAATAACATGGGACCAGGGAATATGGTTACGGGACCCATGGGCAATATGCAGCAGCAAATTATGGGTCAACACATGCCCCGAAAACCAGGAGATGCTATGATGATGAATAATGCCATGTTTCAAGGTACAAAAATATTAATAAATTTTGGACTTTGAAATTTTTCTATTATGACACATTTCTCCTATTCTCTTTATTAGGACCTAGACAAATGCCTCCGAATCAGTTTTTGCATCAGAGCCCAAGCCCATCTGCACCAAGTCCTGCTGGTGTTGGATCTTCTGGAAATCAAATGGTTGCTTCTCCAGCATTAGTTCCATCACCAAGTCCGCAAATGAGCCATATGCCACAACAAAGGTAAGTTAATATAGTTATTTTTATATTTCTTACATAATATTTAATCTAATACATACATTTAATTATCACCCAAAAATAATTATGGCTCTAATTAATGTTGTTTTGATTTAATTTTGAAGTATATCATTGATCATGTATTTTGTTATGGAACATAGATTTTGAATATGAATTTAATAAAATTCATTAATTTAGTAATCTTTTTTTTTTTAAAAAAAAAACTGCGATAATGTCAATTTTAAATTACATGTTGGGAAAAATGCAAAATTTAGAATATAACTATATAAAAATAAAAAAATAATATATTATAAAAAAATATCAGAAATACGCACTATCTTTTATTGACAAAATTTTATTAGTACTTTCACGATCGGGTATGGGACGTTCAGTGGGTGCAAGGCGGGTGGTTTTCCTTCACTTTGCGGTCATAAATCATTCTTGGGTAGAATACTGGTCATCTGTGCGCGGAAAACAAATACAGGCCGAGTAATTAGTTTACACAAGGTTATGATTTACGAGTTTACCTACAAAACCTCGAAATATTACCCTCAAACAAGAGTATAAGGTCTTATAATACATAAACTGACCGACCGACCGCATCGTCTAATGTATTTACATACCGAACGTGCTTGAGTCAAATTTATTCGTGTTTTATAAACATAGGATGAAAATCTGACCATATCGCTATAATTACAAAAAATATGGTTTAGGTACTATACGCGAGTGATTAAAAATGTATCTTATTCTGCCGGTTTTCATACATAAATTATATATGGTAAACTATAGCTACTCTCTTTGAATTTTACTCTTACTTTTATAATAATAATTTTATTTTTATAATAATTGATTGATTACGTATTAGATTTATTTTGTGCAAAATATATACAGAAAAAAGCATACGTCCATTTTTATTTTTAGCCAAATAAATGCAGATAATTTGAACAAAGCGCTTTCTATTAAAAATAATAGAGAAATTGTTAATGTAGGGTTGCAGAATTATATTTTGTGAATTAAATCATATATTTATTCACATAGAAACTTTACGAGCTTTTTGGATCATAGCTTAATTTAATTTAATTTCTCTGTTAAATTTCTGATTATGATTTAGAATTCAGGATTCTAAATGAAGTTATGTGTTTTGTTCTTAAAATTCAGACGTATCTTGTTTCTGGACAAATTCCATTAGCCATATATTAGCAATATTATTATTAGCATACTTAATTAGCAAAATTTCATTATTGATAGATACGGTTTGCGTTAAAAACTATTTAATCGTAAATACTATTTAATCATAAAGTGCAAAATTTGCTTCACACGCTTTCATTTGTCTTATCACGTTTAATACGATATAAATGAAACTATACTTTCCCCAAAGTGCTTGTGGTAATACTATGGCTAAACCTTTTGCCAGTGTTCAAAACCCCATAAAGACGCCCCGACAAGTGGGTTCTTTTTGGGGGGATAAAATTAAACCTGCTTAAATCCTCTGTTATTAGTTTTGAGCATGTTTTAATACACCAACCCGGTTCGTAAACAAAGCGCCATGTGATAACTGCAGGCGATATGCATCTACTGTGGGAAAGGGGCTCAATGTATAAAAGACTAAAGGAGGCTTTTATTGGGAATATGAGAAATACTTGTAACGGGAAATTATATGAAATTAGTAGCTACTTTTTTAGAACAATATCTATACTCACATTAATATGAATTACCTTGTTAGGCTCTATTATGTTTAATTTTTAGGCATGTTCTATTTTCGAAACAGATTTTTCATATCTGCAATTTCACAAACGTTTGATCAATTATCGTATATAAAAAATCAGATGTATTTCAAAGATGATCAATTTGGAAGTATTTAAATTTGCAATATTTTTTTGCACTTAATAACCTAAATACTCTCTTCTATCTCAAAGACTTTATATTTTTTCTATATTATTTTGTCTATAGAGGATTTTCAAATTCTTTTAGCTTATGAAATTTTCTCTACATTATTTTATACAACAAATAATGATTTCAATAAATTATGAAATTCTATATTTTATTCTTTATCATTTATCCGTAATTTACCATTGCATACAATATTTAATGAAAGTCGGCTCAAGTTTCTTGAAATTAATTTATAAAATAATAAATACATATTTAATAAGCAAAAGAAATTTGCAAAGCACTGCATTTAGGCATATTCAAGTTATTTTTGATTATAAAATTTGTTCTATGTTATTTGATCTATTAATTTACCAATTGCAATTTCGAAACTTTAAAACTCAAACTGGACCGAATTTTATGAATTTTTATGTGCGAGAATAAATTAATTCGACAATGAATTAAATTCACCAATCTTTTTATTATATTAGAATATTGTTATGTCGATTGTATTCTATTTATATAAGTTACTATAAAAAAGTTTGAAAATATTTTATATAATTTCAAGATATTATATCGGCTTTAAAAATAATTAAGCTTTTTTTTGCTTGGTAAATTTTAAGTTATCATCAAGTTTTTGTTTATATTGTTTTTCTGTAACTATCCATATACTTGTTAAGGCATCAGGGAAACGAGGAGTTATTATTCATTTTTTATAGAAACAGCTAAATACTACCTTAAGTAGTCGAAGTTTATCCAAATACTTTCATAAGAATTTTTTATTATTTACGCTTTATAATAACCAAGTACATATTATAGTTTATAGTTTGGTGAAAAGTCTCAAACATAAAGAAATTTCACCTCTAAACGCTTTATTGTACGTTACGTAATCATGATAATATAACATTATAATATGTGCCTGATGTATATAAAGTCATAATAATATTTAATTGATTGATCGAACTAATTAGAGTTGAAGCATATCATCAATCATGTATTTTGTAGTTAAATTTTTTTTAAAAATTTTACCAATTTAATTAATTTAGAAAAAACTTACTATATTAAGAAGTTTAAATTACATATAGGATATAATGCAAAATGTGAAACAAAAGTGGCGTAAAAGAAAAATTAGAAAATCAATATTAGGGAAGCAGGTTATAGTTATGTTTTTTTTTTTTTTGTTAAACAGCTCTAATCATTTGTGTTCATTTAAAATATTGTATGACTATCCGATTTACCTACTAGTATATGAATAAAACTATTATGGATTTGAGATTAATAGAATTAATTTTTAAAGCATAAAAAGTTGAAATGTGCCATTGAATAGAAATTGGGTTCGCCCGTAGGTAAGCGGTTAAGAGCGACGGGACTTGTTTCAGAGGTCCCGGGTTCGATACCCACTTCGAGCAGCCTTGGAAATTTCACTTGGAAATATAGATAGCAATATGTTTCCAAGTGAAAATAGCTCTTGCCCGGCATTGCTGCACCAATAAGAAGCCAGCCCTATTAGATTAATTCTAATAACAAAAAGCATCAAATATGGATGGATTAACCATTGAGTAAGGAGAAGTTTAGGTCCAACAGCTCATAGGACGTAAGGTTCTGATTGCTGTTAAAAATATTAAAAAATAAAAAAATGAAAATAGAAATTGTGTGAAATTCGCAAGCACTTGGTCCCTTTGACCTGAGTGTGGGTCATAACTCTGCAATCTCCGTGGACACGTGATAGCTAGGGGGTCAAAGTGAATCAATCCTAGCGACACGCGGATTTGTTTATCTTTTGCACTTGAGCGAGAATTTTTTAATAATTCGAAGATGCTACATACAAATCACTTATTATTATTCTTAGGCGTGTGTCCGAACGCATGAGCACGCACTAACGCACCCCTGCATTTGGGGAGCCGTAGGTGTTTTTAAGGGTGAATTCATTAAACCGAATGTCGGAAATCGAGATTTTTGTTTATGCAACAAAATAATAGACTGACAAAATGGTAAGAGATAATGGACAGATTATTCGCTGAGTTTTTAACTTTTTGTTATTTTATATTTTCTCGACGTTCCAAGTCATTCTGAATGGAATGAGTCTAAATTCGGAAGAAGTTGATGTGTGTGTGAGTTGATTTGCGACATTTCGTTGTCATTTTCTCACAAAACGGCTTGACCAATTTCTAAAATTTACAGGCCATTCGATTTATATGGATAAGGACTAGCGTTTTAGCATCCAATTCTAAAAAATTAAAAATTGTTCGAATGATATTGATTAGGAATCGCGTTGATCAGTTTTTGGTAAAGATTTGCCGGACGGTTTCTTCATAATTATATGTTGGAAAAAATATAATTTTCCATGTATAACAATAGATTATGTGTTTGAAATAACATACTGAAATATTAAAAGCCTACGATAATAGGTTGTATAAGAAAAATTCATTAAAGTATATAAGTCTCGAGCTTGAGAGATTCTAATCACAATCTGTGCTGAAGCATATGTATGAAATTCGGTGTTCGTAGGTACTGATTACAGTTGATGTCCACACTTAAACAAAATACATTTTTAGAACACGATATGTATAAAATGAAATGTGTTAAACAAAATAATTTAATTTAATTTGTACAATAACAATTATTATAAATATATTTGCAACATCAATTGGAAATCGCATTGATCTATTTTTTTTTTTTTTTTTTTTTTAAGGTCAGTTGGTATGGCACCATCACCCAGTAGTTCTCTGAACACACCAGGTCAGGCGGTACCAACAGCTAGCCCGTTGGCGGTTCAGCAAGAAGAGCAAGCTTATCGTGAAAAAGCTCGTCAGCTTAGTAAATATATAGAACCTCTTAGACGAATGATAGCACGAATAGGAAATGATGGTAAATTAAATAATATATTGATATGTCCATAAAAATACCATAGGTAAGGAAAGCATTGTATGCAAGGCGTAAAGCGAAATCGATATGTTTAACAGTTAATCATAAGGTTTTAAATTTTATCAAACCCAGATCTTAATAATATAGTTTATTAATTATAATGATTTATACACATTTATGTAAATTAAAGTTTAAGTTGAAGTTTTAATTCTGTCTAGTATTTTAGGCAAGTGTAATTGGCAGCAATGCTATCCTTTATTTTTATTCGTATCTATGGATTTGATATAAAGCAAATGACTATCCCATTATTGATTAATGTAGTTTCTATGGATTTTTGATTTCCCTTTTCAGATGTCGAAAAGTTATCGAAGTTCAAAAAGTTGCTAGAAATATTGTCAAACCCTACACAAAGGATACCACTCGAAACTTTATTAAAGTGCGAAGTGGTTTTGGAAAAGATGGATTTGAAACGTAGCGAAGGCGGAGGTAGTGCACCCGCTATTCATCCTCATCTCAGCTCTTTGAAAGAGCATCATATCTTTAATCCTCTTTTGGAAGCTGTAAGCAGCGTTTTGCAAAGTCCGACTGCAAATCATACTTTGTACAGAACTTTCGGACCAACGATGTCTTCCCTTCTGGGTCCTGAGATCAAGTAAGTTAAAAAAAATTAAAATCACTAAAATAATAATCCAATAATAATTTTTCTCGACAGATGAATAATTTAATCGTTAAAAGTTAAGTTAAAAAGCATTAAAGAGCGAGCTTAAACTGGTTGTAAGTGCCTCAAGTGAAGTCCCATAAAATTTCTGATAAAATGTTCAACTATTTTGAAAACAAAGTATTCGCTTTCAATAAAAACTAATCAATGCGATATTCTATTATTAATAGAAATGTATTTGATGTGTGGAATAATTTTAATAAATGTGGACGTCACCGGTAATCATCAGACTCGATGCTTAATAGGCCTAATAACAAACTTTGATAGATTTTTATAATTCAACTATTTTTCGTAGACTTATAAAATTTCAATATTTTAGTTTAGAGACTATAAAATTTTATGTAAATCTTAACTGTAAACTAATAAGCGCATATAAATTAAAATATTGCTCATTTGTTAACTTTTGTCTTCGAATGCCTTATTTTTGGGCTAAATAACTAATATTAATTAATATAATAAGGAAAACTACTAGATTGATTAAAGTTTTGCGCAAATTGGTTTGCCGAGTGTTTTCGTGTAAATTTATTAACTTCTCGTAGGGTAAGTTATAGTAATCGCAAAAAAATCGAAAATGAAAATTTTTGCATTTCTCGACGTTTCAAAGGTTTCTGAATATTTTGGCTTACCTTAGAAAAAATGGATGTATGTGTGTGTGTATGCGTGTGTGTGTGCGGATACAAATTTTTCGTCGACGATTTCGGGAACACCGATCAACCGATTTAAATAATTTAAAAAACATTCGATTCGTACTGATAAGGACACGTGCTGATTAGTTTTTGGTGGAGGCAGGTCTAGCCGTTCTGAAGATACGTGGCAAAAAGTGCCAAAAACGGTAACACGGGTTTTAAGAGAACGGAGCGTCCGATTTTAAAAATTCAACAAACATTTTACTTGTATAGACAAAATGAAGAATTGATCAAATTTTCATGAAAGCAGGTCTAGCGGTTTCGGAGATCTAATGAAAAAAGTAAAACAAAAAGCCATTTGGCGGTCAAAAATGATCATTAGACATATGCACATCAAATTATCAGATATTTTATAGAGATTTTAACAATTAGTATGAATTTTGTTTAAATTCATATGGGTTTTGTACCAATGTTTATTCGTTAGACGGCGACGCAGCGCTTACGCGCTTTGACATTCCGTCTCTATGCTGTTAAAGCAGTACGATTGCTTTGAAAAAAAGTTCAGAATTTCCAAACTATGCCAAAATAAAGAAAACTTTTTTTTTTCAAAAAAAATTTTTTTTTTCAAAAAAAAAGTAATTTTTTGTCGAATTTATAGTTTCTCAAAAATCTAATTTTTTCGAAGTAAAATTTTTTCAAAAATGTTAATCGCTAAAATAATAGTTTTTGGTACGGGAAGTTCCAGCAATTTGCCTTAAGACACGATGCCATGCGCCCCACTAGTTTGTAATAAGACTTAACAATATTTGAATTATGTTAAACACTATATTATGTTAACATTACTTATGATATTTTCGTAGAAATACTCCTTCCTCATTGAAAAGATCATTTCCTGAGGACGCACCGACTGATATTTCTGATGTCCTTCAAGGTGAGATCGCGAGACTAGATCAGAGATTCAAGGTTTCACTTGATCCTACACATCAGCCTGGCTCAAGGTAAAATATTAACGAAACAAGTGTTTTGTAAATGCTATTATTTTGTTTGCTAATCAATTATTACGTTATTTCAGATCTATCCAATTATTGTGCTGCTTAGATGATAAATTTTTGCCAAGTGTACCTCCGGTATCGCTTTATGTGCCGGAAGATTATCCTCAAACTTCTCCTCAGCTCTCGATGGCAGAGCACGAGTACGGAATGACGGAGTTCCTATCTACTGTTCAAAAAGCTCTTCAGACTAGAATAACGAAATTACCTAGAAGGTAAGACAATTTACTATTCATTATCTACTTAATTGATATTTTTATTTATTTTTCTGCTTTAGGTTTTCGATTTCGCAGTTGTTAGACACGTGGGAGATGAGTGTCAGACAAGCATGCGCCCCAACTCAAGTTGCTCCATCAACGGCTACTGTACTATTGGGATTGTAAATTTATAAAACATAAAATAATTTTTCTGTATGTGTATCTTTCTTAAGAAAATTAAATAATTTAAATATTTTCTTGTGTTTCATTATTAAAACATAAAATTGTAATTTCAGAATGAACTGAACTTTTTAACATTCCGAAGGAGAAGTTTGTTTTCATAAAAAAATCCGATTCGCTAATTTTATGTTTTCTCGACGTTTCAAGCCATTCTGAATCGAATGAGACCAAATTTGGAAAAAGTATGTGTGTGTGTGTGATCAGATTTTTTGCCGTAAATCGACGTTTTCTCGAAAGCGGCTGGGCCGATTTCAAAAATTTAAAAGCCATTCGATGTATCTCGACGAGGACTATCGTTCGTCAGTTTTGTGCGACGATCGGCCGAGACGTTTCTTTATAAATAGCAGGAAAGTGAAAAACTTTTAGTCCACGTTTTAGCCTGCAATTCTGAACCGATTATGAAAATTCAAAAACCGTTCGAAAGATATTGATTGGGAATCGTGCTGATTAGTTTTTGGTAAAGATCTGCCGGGCCGTTTTCTTGTAATAAAGTGTTAAAAAAAATTTATTATTATTTTTTTGACGGTAGATACTATAGTACTAAAATACTACGGCCCTACGACAATTGGTTGAATTTTGAAAATTTGTCAAAGTTTGCAAAAATTGGTATCGTTTTTTGGCATTTGTCAAAATCAGATCTTTCATCGACGTTTTCTCAAAAACGCCTGAACCGATCTCAGAAATTGAATAGCCATTTGATGTATTTCGATGAGGACTATCGTTTGTCAGTTTTGTGCGACGATCTGCCAAGCCGTTTCTTTGTAATTTGAAAAAAAGTGTTTTAATTTTCGTCTACATTCAAGCTCATCCTACCGAAACGATTTTAAAAAATCAAAAACTGTTCGGAAGATATTAGTTGAGAATGTTACTGATTAGTTTTAGGTGAAAATCTACCGAGCCATTTTTTTCTAAGTAACTGTTGAAAAAAAAATTTAAGCCGATTTTTACGGATTTTTGTTTAGCGATATATATCATGGTCTTATAGAACTTACTGTAATATTACAGCTTTATGACAGTAGTTTAATTTTAAAAATTCATCAAAGTTTAGAAAATAAGTAGTTTTTTGACGTCAGCTAAAATTAAAATAGACGATTTACTTGGTATAACAATGTAGTACTTGGTCTTAATAAACATATTAATAATAATAATACCATTAAAATCCTACGGAAACTGGTTCAAATATAACAATTGTTAATTTTTGAAAAGTTGCTTTTAGAAAATACTCCGAGTTAACGTGTTTGTTCGTTTTCAATTATGTGTAATAGATCCACTCATAAATTAATTTATTTTTTATTGATTAAGTCGATTATTTACACATATCGGGAAGTTCATGTAACTTGCCTCAAGGCTAAATACCAATACCAACTAGTTAAACTCTGCTTCTTATTTATATAATCCGTACGTAATATGTACTTATGAATGTCAATAAAAATAAAAACACAACATTATCTTCAAATTTTATTGCAAAAATAAAAACAAAAGCTATACATCAAAAACAAAATCTTTGCACAAGTTTGTTTAAAAAATTCTAACAAAATATATTCTATAAATTAAAAAATGACTCGATATTCGAAAATTCACATATTTAATATTCTCAAATGTTTATTCTGGAAACAAGTCAAAGTTCAAAGATTTCCTGAATTTGTAGTATCACTATGCGTTTGCTTGATATTCTGGTTGATTGTGGAGAGCGAAGTTAAACATGGTGATTCATTAACAAGACGCACACCAGAATTACGTTCGCAAAATGATTCCGTAGAAGAAGTATTCTTTTTCCCCGTCACAAACTTGACGAAGAGAATAATGAGCGACGTTTGCAGTCACAAGGATTGCAGGACAGTTGGAATAAATGAGCCAATGCGGAATATCAAACGAAAGAAATCATCTAATATAGCAATGGTTTTTCATAGCAATCAATCAAATAATTTACATTTTACGATAAGAACTCATCAGAATAGTATGATCCACGACACTAGTTCTTGGAAAACTAAAGCAAAAAATTTTCAAAAGAAAACACATCGAAGTTTTCTTCAGATGCATGGTACTAATTTTCGTAATTTTGACATGCGCGTGAACAGACTGAACTCTAAAAGTGAGAATAGCAAGCATAGTTTCTTGGCAACAAGCATTCACATAATGGATGATAGAATCATCATGACGTTTCTGATCAAATTAGCGTTCGTATTTATCATAAAAACTGTTAAAGACGTTATGCTAGAACGTGAAACTCTCATGAAGTATATGATCATATCGTGCAATGTACCTGAAATTTTTATTTGGTTTGGCTACGTTATTCAACGAATGATCACAAACGTTGTCATTGCCTTTGTCCTGGCCCTTATTTTGAAGGATTATGAATTGACAAAATGGTACATCATTTGGATGTTTTTATCATTATTCTGCCTCTGTGGTATTGTTTTGGCGTTTCTAATATCTTGCATGACTGAAGACTACAACTTAAATATTTTAATTATGGCAATTTCCTGGTTTATGGTCTATCCCATATATGAGCCGGGTATGGAGAATTGTTTGTATTATTGCATTTGGCCGTGCTACGCTCTCCAACTTGGCTTTCAGGTAATTGATGAGACGACGTCAACGAGGAAATTTTTATATGAAGATGTATGGTCAGGTTCCTGGATCATAAAATCGATGAAAAAACCGAATTTGACAGCTATCATGCTCGTGATGCTTTTTGATGTCGTTTGGTTGTCACTGGCTACATATTTTCTGAATAAGATGCGGGATAATAAGTAAATAACTTTTTTAATAATAATGCATTGGTAATGCTAACCTTTTCTAGGTCTTGAAGTTTTAAAAAAAATTACTTGCAATTTGCATAAAAATCACACTTGCAAAAAGCTATTGATTGGAAATTACAAATTTTGTTAAATAGTTTGTTGATTTTTGTTTTATTTTATGGCCTGCTACATAAATAATTGTTTATAGCGCAAACGCAAAAGATTTGAACAATAAGATCGCCCAATATAAATTTTAATTTTTATAAGAATATTTGACATTACCGAATATTCTAATAAACACATTAGAGTTGCAACATAAGGAACAATATGATCTTCGCAAAAATAAAAGTGCTACTTTTTAAAATTCAGCATTAGCGATATTATAAAATTTCATATATTATTTTTTTCGCTTTTACCATTTTATATAACACTGGCACGCAAAAACTAAAGCATCTATTTGTTATGTCTAAATTTTTTATTTGTTAATGTAAAATGCTCAGATGTTATAAATGGAATAATATTGCATATATTTTGATGAATCACTATTAAAACTTGTAGCAAATGAATTATTTAATCTTTGTTCTTGACAAGCATTTTCGTTCATCCTAAATAAATTTATTTCTAATAGATATGGAACTATATGGTGTTTCGTGCCATTTTTCTGGTTGGTTGAGCTTCTAGGTGAACTTTGTGGTTTCAAAGTATTTGGCACATCTGCAATATCTTTACTGCCTCGTTTTCCAAATGAGAAAGCAGAAGTTGGAATAATTGCTATAACTTTGTCACGAGTATATAAAGTATATAGGTAAGGTTGAAAACAAGCGTAGATTTTTTTAAAAAATCCGCTCACTCTAACTTAAGTTAATTAAACACTTTAAATATTAGATATCCCAATGTAAAGTTTGATAAGCAATTAGTTTGAATAAGCTTCAGAAACATATATATATATATATATATATATATATATATATATATATATATATATGAAATTTAGGGTCGGTTTTGGACCCTCAAGGAAACGCACAGTGGCAGTAAGAAATTTTAGTGCAGAGTTTGAAAAAAATACTAATACTGTAATTATGGGTGAACGTTATGGTGGAAAATCGACATTAGTCAATATTATGGCCGGTACTGTTTATCCTACTCTTGGACGAGTAGTTGTCAATGGAAATGTAGGATTTTGTGCGCAGGTTGGAAAAGATAAATATACAATCAGATTTCGAATAAATAAATATATTATTGCGATATATTCGTCCTTTTTATAATTAGGGCAATATTCATTGTGAACACATGAGCATTTTGGATCTACTGATATATTTTGGAATGCTACGAGGGTATGACCTACCTCGAGCTAAAACAGAATCTGCTAAACTGCTATTAGAGCTAAATCTTTTTGATTATTACAATGCTTCCACATCATCTTTGCGACCGAATCAACTTAGAAAATTGTCTATAGCTTTGGCAGTGATTGGAGAAGTAGACATATTGTTACTAGATCAACCAACGGCAGGTTTAGACACGACAACTCAGAGAGAAATTTGGAGTTTCCTTTTGAAGTACCGTGGTGTAAAAACATTAATCATAACAACTGAAGATTCCTCAGAAGCAGAATTGCTGGCGGATAAATTAGCAATAGTTTATCGAGGATCTTTGCAGTGTCTTGGTTCACCATGGTAAGAAAAATTACAAACCACATGATTAAAAATTTTGTTTAAGTAGTATCTGCAATATTTTAATAAACTGTAATTTATTAGATTACTAATTTAAATGAAATAAATTTGCTTAAGGTAAATTGACCTCAAGTTTTTATGGATATTTATCTATTGATGACAATCAAAATCAATCGAATTTGGCAGATCTTCACTACTTGGTCCCTAAACTCATTTAGAGTTTATAAGATTCTAAGACTTCTAGCTAATCAAACAAAATATGCTAAAGAAATCAAAAATCAATATATGCATTGTTAATTTTTTCCAAAGGTACATCAAAGGATTATTTCGATACGGTTATACATTGACCATGATCTGTTCCAATGTCTTTTACCCTCAACGAGTCATCGATCTTGTGAAGAGACATATTTCCGTAACTGAAACCGTGCATGATGCAAATCCGATATTTGTGGTAACTCTGCCTGTACTGGAAACACATAAATTTCCAAATTTATTCGAAGAAATTGAAAATTATAAGAACTACTTGGGCATAATAACTTTTCATTTGGAACAAGCTGTAATGGAAGACGTATTTACTGGGGTAAGTATTTAGGTTGATTTTATAGGATTTTGCTTTCCAATCGTTTGATACATATCTGATAAGTAAATTTATTATTCAGGCTCCTGGTGAATTGCCAGACATGCCTCTATCTCTAGTTCTGCATGACGCAAGTAGACAAAATATGGCGGAAGATTTCGAACAAGGCAGTTCAAGTCGAAAATATAGAATACAATGGAAGGGAACTCTTCTTATTTATCGACAGTTTATTTCATTGGCATATAGAAAATTAGCATGTATGATTATGAATTGGATGCCCTATACACTCATTTTTACGTTGTCAATGGTTGCAGTTATTATTTCATTACTGCATCTAGAACCAATGGTAAGAAATAAAAGAAGAAAGAAAAACAATTCATTATAAATGAATGAATCAGATGTACGATGTATTTAATTTAGAGGATATTTTTAAATATGTTTATTAAATTTTAGGATACCAAATACAGAAGAAATTGTCCTCCTCGTATAGACACAGCTTTGATATTTAGAAACATCAGACAAGAATTTCAAACTGAATTTTGGACTGATGCTGTATTGAATCAGATCACAAATTTTAGTGAACGTATACAATATTACGATTCTAGAATGGTAGGCTAAAGACATATCAATATATTTTTTAAACCACATAGAAAATGGTATAAACTATAAATTCTCAATTGCAGCAAATTAAACATTTGGGAAAAATTACTCCAGCAACTGTTGTGTTTGAACTTACCGATTACAAACAGAATTTTTTGCAAGTTCATTTATTTAGTAACAACTTCTGCCATGATATAATATTAAATGATCTGTTGGCAAACATCGTTTTAAAGATTGAAAAGGATAATCCACTAATGATACAGACAAAAGTTGTAAAAGAAGATGGATATAATGATTTATACTATGTCTCTTCAAATTACTGGTAAGTAGAAGTTGATTTACTCAGAAATTTGTACTAATGTGTATGAAAATAATTGGATATCAAAAATAACCTTTCTTTTCCAGGTGCCCAATTATTGGTTTTGTATTCGCCTTTGCGATTCCAATTGCAGCATCAGTTCCTTACGCAGAAAAATCTAATTTTTTCAAACAACAAATGCACTATGCTGGAGTATCTTCTTTAATGTATTGGATAACAATTGCTCTAGTGGATATTTTATTCTACACAATTTACAGTTTGTGCTTACTTCTATGCTTGATGTGGTTTTCCGACAGCGATTATACTTCATCAGAGTGGCAGCTTGTATTTTTTATAATGTTTTTGTACAGCATGGTTGGAACTTGTACTTCTTATCTAACTACATTTTATTTTAATTCTAAGCAAACCGGGTATGTGGTAATATTTACAATATCAGTCATCTCCATAGCTGCTCCAGAAGCATGGTACAAATGGAGAAGCGATATAATCCGGAATTTATCCAGATACAGTTCTTTGCATGATGTCAGAAAAATCAGTTTCTTAGAAACAGAGTACATTATTTTTACGATTACTAAAACTTTAGCACAACTTATACCTTCCGTAGCATTCAGCCAAGGGTTGCACGATCTATTTTTTGTATTAACCAAACTTTCGAATTGTCAACTCAGCAAAATGGAACCGCCTGAAACGTGTGACAAAATATATAATAGACTGTACGATTGTTGTCAAATGAGGTGTAATTTAACAAAATTTTATAATTTTGATTGCCCCGATGAATTATCAACAAAACTTCTTTATCAATCCGGCGTACTACAAGCAATTTTGTTCTTGATTCTGGATTTGGTTATAGTAATTTTAATATTATACCTGTATGAGGCGCGGATTCTAAATAATGAAACTTATAGCAATTATGGAACTTTGGTCATACCAACGGATAATGAAGTATTACAAGAAAAATTTGCAATAGAACAAATTTTAGCAAATACTCTTAGTGATGCCAGCACATCGCAGAATTATAAACTGCTCGTTTCACGAATACACAAGAGGTTTGTATTGTATGCCAATACTTAATTCATTAATTCATTTATTTAACGTCTCATATGTTTTCAGGTATGGCAAAACTATAGGTGCCGGTGGTTTAACATTTGGTGTACTGGCTAATACTGGATTTGCACTATTAGGAAACAGTAAATCAGGGAAAACAACAATTATGCGTATTTTGAGTGGATCAGAAGTATCATTTGGTGGAGATGCCTTTATCGGAAATGCCAGACTGACAAAACATGGCTCCAAATATCTAAGTCAAATAACACACTGTGATGAAACTTCCACATATACAGAAGCCTTAAGCATTGAAGATACATTGCATCTTCTGATGACGTTAAATGGTTATAGTGATTCTTATAGAAGGGAAAGAATCAATATGTTTATAAAAGCAATGCAATTAGAAGATTATAGACGGAAGAAGGTGAAATATATTTTTCATAAATCCTATATTATTTCTAATTAATCCATTCTAGGTACACGATGTGAATCAAGATGTCCGGCGAAGGTTTGCGATCGCCCAAGCACTTCTTTGCGGCCGAGATCTTGTCCTACTCGATGAACCCACCCGTGGCCTAACCCACGTGTCCAAAAGGCTCATTTGGAGAATGATTCGACATTATGTGCTTCAAGGAGGCACCATACTACTGGCATCATCCAATCTTATAGAATGCGAAGCTTTGTGCAATCGTATTGGAATCTTAGAAAATGGACAAATCGAATATATTTGCACAACCACGACCCTCAATAGAAAGTAAGGAGAAATAATATATGCTTACCAAATTGTATTTAAAATAATTTTATAAATTTGATTACTACTTTATTCAGATATTTGTAAAAAGAATAATAAATAATTAATACAACCAAGAAAGCAAATGAATACAACAAGTTAATAGTTATCAAATTATTTTGGCCATATGATATTTTCAAAATTTGAGTCAAGTAATTAATTTTCCAGCTTATTTAGTGCTATGCTATCGATGGTAGTAAAGATTAGTCACCAGGTCTGCTTTATTTAAAAAATAACGCATTTGTACTTTTTGTGATAAGTTAATTTCTACCAAATTTAAAAATATATAAAGTGTTTTGACAATAATTTGCATACAAAAATATGTTTATTGATTTTTATTCTGTTTATTATGTTATTTACATTTTAGAGTCAATCGGTATTATAGTGTTTTATTGAAGCTGCGAATATTAGCTATATCCAAGCAAGGAATACTGTCTTTGAAAAGAGATTTAGAGGTATATTTTTGTAAACAATTTTTGTCAATTATAAATATTGCACATGATAATTAAAATTTCATTTGTATTTTTTTTAACAGTCTCGCTTCCGAATGCAAGAGTCAAATGATTATCCGGAGTTCATATGTTACAGGTAACATTAAGTGTTATTCTTTGTATTAAAATTTCGTTATTATTATTAATTATAATTATTTTGTCCACCTTTTCTTTATTGTCTCAAATCTGACTAACTCTGTTATTATTGGAAATGTAAAATGATGATCAGATGATTATTTTCTATAAACCGTGTTTATGGACAAGGAATTATATATTTACTAGCTGACCGGCAAACGTTGTTTTGCTGAGTAAGGTATATTCTAAAATTTCTAGAGAATCATAAATATTAATACTTTAAGTGTATAAGGATGTGTTGTTTGAATGCTATATACAATGAAGTATTATAAAAACAACAAACCCCATTAGTTTGTTTATATTTTGTCAATACAATCAAGCTGGAAGATTTATACACTTTCTATAGAAAACATAGTAAATCCACCAAGTCTTTTTTGGTCTTTCGACTTTATTGTCTTATTGTCTTATTGATTACGTTTCAAGTTTTTCAGATTCTTTTTGGATTATGGATTTTGTGTATAATTGTAAATAATTCTACTGAGCTTATACAAAATTTTCAAATTTTTGCAAGTAACATTCGATGAATTAAAGTAAATTTAATAAAAAGTATATATGTAGAGCAGGGTGAGGCACAAAGGTCCAGTTTGACTTTGAGCAAATATAAACTATATTGTGAAAACCAAAACAATTATATCACAACAAATAACACATATCAAACGAACAATTATCTGACTTCAGTAAACTGCCTTCTACTTCATCATTGTAGAAATGTGTCTTTCAAAAATTTGTTATCAGACCTTTTTACCCTATAAGCGGGATAACTTGAAACGGGCAGGTGGCAAAAAGGTATAAAGCCTGATTAAAATTTTAAAGGTAGGTATTTTACAACAAAATAATTACATTTTTAACTAATGCTAAAAAGTTACCAACGGAAGAAAATACTTTTATTATGGATTTTCAAAGATTACCGTTCATCTTCCCCATTTCAAAGATTACCGTTTTCAAATATTGTTGTTAAATAATGCTTAACTTTACTGATTTTTGACACATCAGTGGTGGACCGTTTTAACCCCGGACCTTCATATATTACTATCTATTCTTCGATAAATTCTGGGAAATTATAACTGGGAAAATGTTATTCGACAAAATGTCCATTTGATCGATACCAAATTTAGGTTCTGAATTTAAATAACATAAATAAAAAATAATATAACCTAGAAAAAGTTTTATAAATACCAATGAGTATATAATTATACAAATGAGAGCACCATGTTTGAGAAAAATATGCCAAAAAGTGCATTTTCATATTAACATTTCAAAAAAGTTGATATTTTGAGTCTCTGGTAACACTTGCGGCCCGTTTACTAACGTTTTTGTATATAAATAAAATACAAACAAAATCACTTACTACAATTTAATCATAAATAAATAATGTTCAAGTAAAACATTCTTTTAAACGTAATTGAACATAATCTGTCAAAAACGTTTGACATTTCACGTATTAGCCATCGTCCATGGTTTTATTTAAATTACGCTTCTACAAAAATTTTCAAAGTAAAAATGTAAAGTTTTTACTCGATTTTGAAATAATATCTCACTTTTCCGATCATCTCTGGATTGGCACGAATTTTTCAAGACTAAGACTGGCCAAATCGGTTTAGCCGTTTTCAAGTTTTACCGAATCATTTGATCGAGAGCTCCATTTTTATATATAAGATTATCCACGAAGCAAAAATTAGTTAAACATGTTTAATTAATATAATTTTTACATCAAAATTAATTGCTATGTCAGATATTTTTACTGATTCATTGTAATAATTTTTTCCTAACAAAAACTCAAAATTCTTTAGCTTTCCTAAATACACATTATTCTTGCTAAATAATTAATATTCAACTGCTGAACTATAGTAATGAATCTAAATTTAAAATATTATTTATTAACCTTAATTTAGTGTATCTCAATCTGATGCATCTTTGTCGGATTTATTCACAACTTTGGATCAAATCAAGAAAACAAATCGTATCCTAGAAGATTACAATATAAGTGAAGAACGATTGCGTATAACAGCAATTAAGAAAAAAGGAATTAAATTTATCAAAGATGAAAGACGAAGGACCGAGGATTATTTAAATGCTTTAAAGGTGAGAAAAAGATCGCCACGTCGTCAGTAGCTCTTATAATATACTTTTATCAAAATAAGTTTATAAAATTATAAAAATAAAATAAAACACATAAAATTCTATAGTTGCTATTTATATATTGTATGCGTAAATAAAAATATTGATTGATTTTTTTTAGTATTGAACTAATAATTCATGACAATGGCCTAAGTCTCAAACCAAAGAGACGTTGTTTCAATTAATTGTATTCATGTGAATATTATTATTTACTTTATTATTAATAATATATTATTTACTTCCCGAAGGAGAAGTCTGTTTTAATAAAAAATCTGATTCGCTAATTTTGTGTATTCTCGGTGTTTCAAGCGATTCTGAATCGAATGAGACCAAATTTGGAAAAAGTATGTATGTGTGTGTATGTGTAAACAGATTTTTGTCTGGTTTGTAATTAAGTAAATAATTAGATACATAAAAAGTATTAATAAGAGATTAAAATTCGAAATCTATATTAAATATAGTAATTTTTTTTTTCTTTGAAACAATGGATATATATGAATAAAATATTTTTTTTTTTGGGAATTCTGATTACTAAAAATTTAAGGTGCTGCTTCAATTATTTGTTGCCAATGGAATCTGGCAAAATTATTGCAGTGGATAGTATTTGAGATTTTATGTATACCTACATCAAATGATAAAGATTATTATATTTTTCAATAATAATTCAGAACAATTTATTGAATATTTAATATCACAAATATAATGTTTTTAATTCCGACGCAGAAATAAACTAGTGTGAGATATTTTGCCTCAAGAAAAATTGCAATAACAACCTAGCATTAATGATTAATGTTTTTTTATAATTTGAACGCCTTGTCGTAGACCCTTGATTTTATATGTATTTTTATTGAAATAAAAACCAACTATATATCTAAACAAAGGTAAATTAAAATCCTAAAAATATTAGACTATTCTGTATCCCCATCAAAATATTTTGTGCACTTTGATCGCTTGCTTTTCGGTTGTTTTAAAAAAATAATGTCATTAGAATGTTTCCAAAATAACAAAACAATGCATCACATTTTTTAATTTTTCAAAACTATAAATGTTATCAATGTTCTAATAATGCGTATATTTTTATAATATTTCAATAATCTAAAACCGTTTAACTTATCAATAAAAATATTTACTTCTGATATGGATCTAATAACTTGTTGATTGCGTTTTCGTGTATAGTTAATTTAATTTGTTTATATTATTTAATGATGTTACTGAACTGGTGAACAGATTGGAATGTTTATAATTGATTCAATTTTGTGTATAAATACCCAGCGAGCTATTGAGGAAGTATTCAGTTCCAAGAAGTAACAAGAATCGATAAGTGTTCCTTGAATTGTTAAATTCGCATACAACATCAGCCAAAATGAAATTCTTTGCGGTGACATTTGTGGCCTTTATGGTAAGTAGAAGTCTTGGTAAGGTAAAAAATAAAAAATAAATATTATAGGCAATTCAAGTAGTATTATTACTAGTGGCCAGATTTGCTTTGCATTAATATGCAAGCGTATATGACCACGTGGTTTCAAAATTAATAGTTATTGTTTACTAAGAGTAAATAATTATTTTATAAAGATAAAACCAATTCTTATTGTACAGATATTGCAATTTTAGATAAAACTTTATACCCTGCTCAGACAAAAGCATATTTATAAGAAAATGTACAAAACCTATTTCTGTCTTATACAAAACAAATGCATTTAATAAAATTAACAAAATTAACATTTTTATTTTTAATTTATATAGGTATTTTTGGCGGTTACTTCTGCTCCAATAGAAGAAGCAGATGACTCCGAATGCTGCCATTGCTGCTGCGTGGAACCATACCTGAACAACTTGTTGGAAGGTACCGTAATTGGTGAACTCAAAATGGAACCAAAACAATACGATCACGATCACCATGAACCAGGACAACATCCCGGTGGAATGAAATCCCACAAACATTAGATTTTAGATGTTCAAGTTAATTTCTGATGATCTTTAATTGTTTTAGAATTTTTAGATGGAATTTATTTTAATTATTAATTATAAGTTATATTGAATAAATTGAATTAGTTAAAAAATGTCTTTTCATTTTTTACTGGTTAAGTTTTAATCTAACTAACCTTTTTAACGACCATTCAGTGTAAATTTTTATTATGTATTTATTATAATACTATTATGTTATCAGAACTTTATTAAGATAAGTTTGTAATTTTAAGTTTGTAAGTTAGTACCAAATCTAGCATTTATATAAAACTTTTATAAATCGTGTGTCGAATCAGATGAAACGAATTATTATTGAGCGGGAGGATGAGTTATCCAACAAGACTGAAATATCAACACTCAATAATTTAAGTTATAATATAAAAAAATCAATAAATCTTAAAAAGTGATTATTTTTACATATCAGAAGAAATCCAATAATTAAGATCTCTTTAGCATATTAAGAAATTAAAATTTTAACCCTGCACAGATTTAAATGCAATCTGCCAGCAACTTGGTGCGGCATTCTGAATAAAACGTTCATGCTATAAACTTGATACTATTGTACATATATGTTATGCTATTTTGTTCGGTATGCATTGTGGTCATTGAAAAACATGCGTTTACAATAAGATCTAAATTTATTTATTGCAGTATGTCAAGATTGCTGTTTAAATTAATTAGCGTCGTAACAGTATTTTTGATCATTCTACGGAAATATTTAACCCAGCGATTTCCAACGTGTGGGGCGCGTCCCTCTAGGGGGGCGCCATACCGTTCCAGGAGGAGCGCAATGCTGTTTTAAAAGTACTAATTTTAAATGCTGAGTAAGTGTCAAAAACAAATAAGCAAAATACGTGCAAGAAATCCACAATTTTAGCTGCAATTTTGTCAGGACAAATATACTTCAAAATGTACTACTTTATTATTGTGAAGCACGTTGGCTTGCAAGTGCTAAAGTACTCCAAAGAGTGTTAGGGATCAAAAAAGAAATTGCCATATTTTTTGCTGATAACAAAAGAGATGAAGCAGGTTTGTTTTAGAACACGTAGTTCTTCGCAAAATTTACCTATTTAGTTGATATTTTTCAAAGACTAAGCGATTTAAATAAATCAATGCAAGGATCTCAAATTCATGCTTTTGTTCAGAAAGACAAGATTACGGCTTTCATGAAAAAAATTAAAACTGTTATAGCTAGTATGAAAACTAATAAACATAACATGTTTCACACCTTTAAAATTACTTGTGTTATTGATGAAATAGAAGTAAGTAAAGATCATATTATAAATCATAAGATTAGTCTAAGGAACCAATTTTCACATTGCTTTAAAGATCTAGATATGTCCAAATACGAATGGATTAGAAATCCATTTGTCATTGAGAAATATGATGATTTAGTAAAAAACAAGTTCAACCGTCGCATTAAATTTTTTGAATGTTGTGTTAATTATTATTCTATGACTTATTTTCATTGAAGTTAAAATTATTTTTTCTTATTACATTTTTTTAAAATATTGTGTATTATTTGGCATAATTTTAGTTAAGTATATTTAAATTAAATTACTAGAAAAATTAGGGGAGGCGCAATATTTTTTTTTCGAAAGGGGGCGTGAGGAAGAAAAGGTTGGAGACCACTGATTTAACCCTTTCGAGTCGTAAACTGTCGCTCCTTCCGCATAGGTAAATCATATACGGAATTCCCGAGTGGAACGTGTTAATATATCGTTTTTTATATAAATCTAAGGCCGATTTTTTCGTAAAATAGGACAATAATACTAAATACTGTCAAAATTCCAGGTATTTACTGTGCGATCATGCGTTTTATATATAAAATGCAACTTCACTCATATGTTATTAAGTCATATTATCACAAAGATGCAGTTATGATTATGCGTATGACATTTGTACGTTTTCTTAATCGGGTTTTCTATGAAAAGCGTCTGACTGCACAGCAACCATATAGCATTTTGATAGTATTTAGTACCATTTTGTATGAGAAGCGCTATGTAATGTTGATCTATTTTACTGTTCAATCGGCACCTCATTCTTTGTGGTAAAAATTTTTCTTCACAAATCACTCGATCATAGAAAAAAAATTTACAATGCAAAAGATTAAAAACACGTTGAAAATAACTAATAGTAAATATTGAAAAGAGATCCCTCCACAGATTTTTTCTTAAGAGTGATAAGCTTTTTCAACTCTAAGACAAACTTGATATATATTAATAAACATTATAATATAAAAATACTAAATTAAAGAAGTACATTTTTCATGAATTAATAGAAAATTCTACTTTAGAAAGACTTGGCGGGCCCCAATAAGGGCTCAATGAATCCCATAAGCCGTGGTTTGCTTGTCCTTAATCTATTAAATTCAACAGTTTTAAAACAAAGTGTGCTAATATATTCGCTTTATGAAATCAAGTTAATTGATATAAAAGAATCAGAATCGCCATTGATCTGAGTGTATTTTAATGCATAATATGTGTATTAAAAACTATTACATAAAAATTACATATAGTTTTGGATTATATATATATATATATATATATATAAATATATATAGATATATATATATATATATATATACATATAATCTAATTAATAATTTAATTATTTTAAATATAAAATTAAGTTTATTTTTAAAAAAAAATCTTTGTAAAATTTTTTTAGATACTGTTAACAAAGAATTGCTGAATGATGACACACAATCCGTGTCGAAACGTATATTTTACATATTATATATATTTTGTATTTATTTGTTTCTTTTATTTCGACGACTGGCTGAAACTCATATCAAAACATGTCTCAGCGTTGAACAAAAAAACCTAATATTATATATATATATATATATATATATATATATATACCTCATGTATTTTGTACTATATAATTCATTCATATACTACTAGGCATACATGTTATTTTAATGTTTGCATAACTTTAATATGCAGTTTAAACACGGCCCTGGGTCTGTGTGTCAAAAATGAATTCTTCTATGTGACAAAAAAATAATATTAGAAGGTGTGATCGCCAGCTTTCAACAAATTAATTGTCAAACGATTTACTAAATGTCTATGTAGGACAGTTGTAAATATATTGTTGAATAAAAATAAAAAGAAACTTTCAACAAATTTTATAAAAGAACGTCAATTAAAAATCACGTACCTTTCAGAAAATGTCACCTCCGTTTCGTAACCATCTTGGTTTTATCTGTTCTTACTGAACGGGCAATTATTTGCAGTAAATACAATTGCGTTTGAGTTTTATTTTGATGTATATATATATATATATATATATATATATATATATATGTATATATATTATATATTATAATTCTGCCGGATGATCTGAGTCTCGCATAATCAGCCTAAAATTGCATTTGAATTGTCATTTAAAAACACTAATGTCTTCCAAAAAATATGTATTATCACATGACAACTCGTATATCAAAACAATTACTCTAGCAACACTCAACAATTTTCTTTTACTACTGCATGTCACATACTTGTTGAAACTGGCTATTTTATAGCAACATCCATAGCCATAACCTGGCGGCTATTGAGGAACTAGACACCTGTACTGTCAATAGTTATGAACCTGAAAGTATTTCGATTTGGCAAAAATAGATAATTTTATTATCATCTGGTAATAATTCCCAGTTTTGCAGCGTTTTCAGCCTATATAAGTTGACCGAATATACTACATCATATCATTGTGTATTTGGAGCTGGAGGCGACCTAGCAAGGGTAAGTGTTTATGAAATAATTTGTATTATGTAACAACTATATATATATTTGATTTCAAATGCGTGGCATGTTTGTGTTTGGATTCATCTGCCTTGACTCGATTTCATATCGATCTATCGTTTTTTTTATATTAATCGACATTAATTTCCATGTTTTTTAGTATTTGTGCTGAGCTGCCGAAGTGTTTCTTGTTGTAAAAATACTTCATTATAACAAATAATTAAATGCGTCTTCATATTGTAACGTATATACCATCAATATTTGCATCAATACTTTATTGAATAATACATTCCGTTTCTTAAATAGTAAAGAAGTTTTGAGGAAACAAACGATTTAGGACATATTTTGTGATATTCGAAATACAATAAATTAATTTTATTACATGACTCTGTATTTTGAATATTTACAATTGACTAATGCTTGTTTTGATTTTTTAACTAATGTATTTCTTTCACTTGTTCCAGGGTTTCATACAATGTTTTGCACAGGGGCGGACAACTTCGGAAACTTATTGTGCATTAGTTTTTTGATATTATTCTATCTATTTTACAATTACTAATTTGATTTTATATTTTTTTATATTTACTTATTTTTATCATCCAAGGTTATTTGTGTCCATACTTTTTATTTTTCTGTTTTGTTCGTGCGAAGACTTTGATTCGAAATTTTTATCGTTGATTGCTTATCGTTTAAAACGATTTTTAAAGCCGGGTTTGAGCGGTTAAAGTACGTTCCTATCGCCTACCCCCCACGATAGGTTCGAGTAATTCGCGATTTAATATTTAATTAATTTTATATGTAAATGTTTTTTATTTGCCGGTGTGTGGTGCTTGCAAAGTTTTCCCAGAAGCGGAGCAACGCCATACACCTTAAATTTTAATTAATACTGAATGTACAGATTATGTACAAAATTTTTTTTATTATGTTTATTATTAGTGTGTTACATTATCCATGGATGCAAATAACTCATTTAAAAATCTAAATCCGATTTGTTTATTAAATTACTTATATTTACTTCGACGGAATTTTTGGCTGTTATGTAATGAACGCGATTTGATCAATTGAATT